CTATGGTTCTTCACCTCCCCCAAACCCGCGAATTGTCCTCATTCCTGCTTTCTGCTAAATAAGTGTTTTCGTGACAACCCTCGCCCTCATCCTGGGAGAAGTTGTAATATTTAAAGGAGTCGAGTAGAGGAGAGGAGAGGAGAGGAGAGGAGAGGAGCGGGATCAATCAAAAAATCTATTTTTTTGGATACTTCGAGATTTTGTTGCTTTTGTTGAAATTTTCAGTGAAATCCTGATGGAAGCAGATTGAAGATTGCACAGGAACATCTCATTGTTGAGGGGCATTCGGCACTGTCTGTACTTACCTGCAGGTGAAGGCAGCAGTCAAACAAACCCCAAAGGATCTTAAACTTTGAAACCAGGTTCATAGCTACACCCGAAAGAAAATTAAAGATTAGTTTTGGGCGGTAGACCTTTTCTGTCTATAGCCATGACCTTGACCAGGGGCCTGTACAAGGAACGTCTTTCCTTACGAATCTCAAAATAATTTAGATACTTGGAGCTTTCAGTGCATCTTTATTTTAGCTTCAGATATAGCAGCCGTGGCCTGATTCTTTTTTTGACAAGTAACTTAAATAATACACCGAAGAAGAAAGATTTAATGAATATATGGTGGGAGAGTAGAAAGTGAGTGAACATCTCTCCCTGTCCATCAGCATTTTAGAGATTCTTTGGTGCTTTCAACAGGTATGAGAAGCTTAAGTGTGGATCCAACCTGCCCACTCTCTCTAATATTAAGCAAATTACGGCTTTAAATGTAACTTCATTTTTAGGAAGAAATTGAACGATTGGTAGCTGTTATTTCAATAATTATGGCACTCTTAAAATAATAAGGCAAGCGCGTGAAACACATGGAAACACAGGTCGTTTCCCCACCAAGCATCCCCCACTCCAGCATCCTGAGCTTGAGGTCCCCCATCAAAGCTCCCTGATGGTTCGGTGGGAGACGCTCCCGAAAACCCCTTCCCTGCTCCCCGAGGGCGGCTGACATTTCCAGTAACCTTTTCTATCCGCGACAGCGGGCACTGTCCTCGGGCTGAGCATCCCCCGCCTGCTCCGAGGGAGCGGGGTAAGAGCCAGCCGGGGGAAGGACGGGGAGCCCTCCTGCTCTCTGCAGTCCCTCCCGTCCCCAGCGCTCCACGGCACCAGCCCGGGTCCTGCAGAGACCCATCCAAGGCCGAAAAATCCCGGCTGGTTTCCCAGATATCTGCCCGAGGGACTGCCTGCGCTCAGGTTCTCCCGGTCAGCATCCCTTAATGAACTCCTGTATCTCTTACAATCCTATCGAGACTTTACGGAGAGGTTTCTCCTTCCCGAGGGTATCTTTTAATACACTACTTAACGCCAACCAAGGGCTTTAAAAATGTATTCGCCGCCTTTGCTGCGTTTGAAGCTCCATCTAGATAAATAATCCCCCGTGACTGAGATTCTAGGACCCAGGATAGCTGACAAATTCTGATGCGAAGGTGTATAGATATGTTGCTTAGTGTATTTTTGTTTTAAGGCTCTGAGGAGAGGGGAGTATGTCCTATCCTGAGGCCAGAGCCCCCGTGTCCATACAGGCCGTCGAAATGCTACAGATGTCTGGTCATATTTTTGATAAATATTTTTTCATGTACGATTTTATTTCTTGTTCTCCAGTGGGTTTGTCTCTGCAGGGTTAACTCATCACGCTACCAGTAGCGAGGGTCAAACTGTCAATAAAATGAAATTAAATAAAAGTAGTTATCATTGCCGGGTATTAATGTAGCGGGTAGTGTTTCTATTATATGGGAGGAGGGAGAGAGAAAGAAGAAAATGGGGGGAAAGGGCCGAAACGAAGAGGACACGGCCAGGTGCACCCCCAGGCTCGCCCGCAGTTCTAATAAGATGTGAGGGCTGAGCCAGGAGCTTCGGCACCGCAGGAATCTCGGCTTTTCCGGATGCGGCATCGCGTCCCACGGGGATGGGGTCGCTCCTGGGCTCGCTGCGATCTCTGCGGCTCCCGCTCCGGAGGCAAAGCCGGCCCAGCCCGGCCCGGTCCGGCGGTAAAGCTCTTGTGGAGCGGCGGGACAATGGCGAATCTGCCGAGTCCCGGCGGTGGATAAAATTCCCTGAGAGCTGGGAAAGGGATGGAAGGGCCCCCTTGAAGCTGATCTGTCTAGGCCCTGGTGGCACAAAGCAAGGAGCCCCAAGAACCTTTCCCAAACAGGGACAATCCAGTGGACCGTGCCACTTCACAAAAAACAGAACTCATCGTTCTCAGTTGGAGAGGGTGCAAAACTACTGGGTCTGGGCTGGTTTTCCGCCTCGGATGACCCTTTAAATGGTTAACACAAGGTTCCTGGGTCCATTTCGGTGTCACTTTTCTTTCTCTTCCTCTCCCCTCCCAGCAGTGTTGCCAGCATTGCCCCACCCGGGCCGGTTTCTGGGGAACAAAGGCCGGGGACCTGGGGGACAGCCCCTCGCCCCTGCGAGCTGCTCTTAATGAGGATTCATTTCTTTAGCCTACAGTCCTGGCTTTCATTACGGAGCTTGTCTCGCTCTGTTCATGGTCATTAAGCTGCAGCCCAGTAGCTCCCTCGCCAGATCATGCGCATGATTTTAAAAAATAGCAAAAAAAAAAAAATACCCCTTCATTAATATTAGTAATCACCTTCATCATCACCATGATCATCTGGCCGTTCTAAATTAGCTACCCATTAGCACAAGCTTTCTATCCTTCCACGTCTCTCCCAGCAGAGGTTTTCCTCCATCAGCCCCGTCCCGGGACGCTGCCGGGGGCTCGGCGGGCTGGGCTGGGGGGCGGCGGGGCAGCTCCTGCCCGCGGGGACGCGCCCGGAGCCGCCGAGGTCGCCGCCTTCTCACCCGCTCGCTGGGGAAGCCCGATGCTCATACCGAGGAGGTCTGGAGGCTTTAAAAATTCCTGCCCGAAAAGGTCATTTGGGATCTTTCGTTGACTTGGTCAAATTATTGTTTTTCCCTAACAGAGAGGACAGTGGTGGGATGGAAGGCTGGAAGAGGACTCTCTGCAATATGTATAGATTATATTCTCCTCTTCTCTAATTTTTTCTCCCCCCTTTTTTTTCCCCCACTAAGCAGATCGACAAATCAAACCTGGGTGAAGGTGAAGCCGAAAAGTCACTCCTTTTATTTTTTTAAGTTTCTGTGGGGTATCTCTGAACTCGTGAGTTTTGTGTGCGCTTTTATGTCTCCCCAGCTCTGTCGAGTTTTATGAAAATGAGCAGTATTGAAAGCTTTTCCATCCCGCTAGCTGTGAGCCTCACATAAATGATGTAAATGGCTCGAAGGGTTTTTTTCAAGTGAACTGTGTAGATCTGTGAAAATAATATCAGGGTTTTCCGTCAGAATGAGCTTAGCACTGTACTGAGGCGTACCATAATCTGACCCGACACCTCCGACCATCTGCGCTATCTATCTGCCTTCTGATTTACCAAATCTTCACAAGCAAAAGACAAATTGTACTTGATACTAAAGAAAAGACGGCGAGCCTCAGTCCAGCTCCATTTCTGCCTAGAAATGATTGGAGAAAATGTAAATCTGTTTAATTTCGGTCTACAGGCAACTAGCAAAGGAGCTTTCTTAAAGAAGGGAATAAAGGAAAACAAAAACAATAGAAAAAATAATAAGGCAGGGAAAGAGACAATAACAAGATATCAAATTAAGAAGGGATTTTTTTGACAAGCATTCTAGAAAAAAATACATTGGAAAGAGCAGAGGGAAGAACATATTGAGCTTAATTCAAAATATATGCTGCCTTTCCGAGCATAGTCACTAATATTCCCGGGAAGAAATTACCACTGAGCAGCTATTTGTAGAATAAAGAGTGGCTTCTTGATCATCCTCCCTTTCTCTACGGAAAATAAATTGTATTCTCGCTGCTCAGAAAGTGATTTCCTCCCACCCCGAGACGTCTGGAGTTGGCTCCGCTCCTCCGAAGGGGCGGCCGGGGCTCACCTCGCACTCAGCCCCGCGGTCGCTCTCTCGGGGCACCGAGGGGGGAAAAAACCCACGGGGAATGATTATTACGAGGTGATCAATATTTCAAAAGATTCCCGAAATCTGCATTAAGTCGCTTTCCTGACCTACAAATGACTTCTCACTCCTCGCGACTATTCTCGGCGTCTATTCAGGACCATTCAGCCGAAAACAATAAGGGTTTAAATGTTAAAAAACAAAACAAAAACCCAAAAAAACCGCTTTGGTTGAACGGGAAAGAGCGCTGCGCTCTTTACAGAGAATTATTCGTCTTAACCGAAATGGGAAGTCACATACAAGGGGAAAGAGGAGTCTTTGCCTAAATCTCGGCTGTTTCTACGGTCCTCCCGCTGCATCCATTGTCAGTGACACTCCCAGCATCACTGTTACGCAGCCAATTTTTTAATCTGATTTCTCAGCTCTGCCTTATCGCCCTCTCCTCCCGCGGGTGCGCGGAGCTCTGAGCGAGCATCGCCGGGCCGTACCCCGCAGCTTCACCGGGGAGGATGCGGGGGTCCCGGTAGTCCTGTCGCTGAGACCACTCCCTCCAACCTGCCTCCAGCACCCTGAAGCGGGGGCCCGCTTCCCTCCCCTCAGCCTGCCTTCCCCGGGGCGGCCGGGCGGCTCTGCCCTGCCCGGGTCGGCGGGGCAGGGCGGCGGGGTCGCAGTCCTCGGGGAGCGGCCGGGGCGCCGCGGGGAGTGGGGCGGGGAGCGGGGCGGGGAGAGCGGGGCGGTGCGGGGCCTTCCGCCGTGATTGGCAGCGGCTGACAGTGAGTGGCAGCCCCGCCATGGAAACCCGGGAGCCAATCTGCCGAGCCCGCAGCAAATCAGCCGCTCCCGCAGCAGCGCGGCGGCGGCGGCGGGGAGCTGTGCTTGTGCCTTTT